GGGCCTTGCTTTTGTGATTTGTTAGGTGGGACCAAGTAGTGTTTAGCTTAGGGTTAATTATTCCCCATTGAGTGAAGACCCTTCAGAGTACTCTACACCATGCCCTCTGAATAATGAGGTTTTCCAGTCTAGCTGTTTGGAACAAGTGTTATTCTCTGACCCTGTGTGAGCTCCTGGCACTATTCCCACTTGCCCTTTTGGGTGATTCTTCCCTCAGCTTCAGGAAAAGTCCCTTCACATACATGCCTAAATCAGTACTCTGCTGAACATACTCAAGGGGGCCCTCTACAAATCCTGGCCGTTCTTCCCCTGTGCATCATCTCTTCAGCAGTGTTCCCTGTGAACTCCTGCTGCTTTGGTTTCCCGAGATTCTCAGCTCTGCCTCATCAACTCAGAAGCTATCAAACTTCACCTACATTGCCCTCTACTTACTGTGGTCTGGAAACTTTCAAGGCAATAGGATGGGCAGTTACAGAATGTGGCTTGTTTTCTTCCCATCTCTCAGGGATGATTGCCCTTTGTTGCCTGATATCCAGTATTGAAGCTATTGTTTCATATTTTTTTTCCCAGTGTTTTTGTTGTTTTAAATGGAAATATAAATCTAGTCCCTGTCGGCCAGAAGCAAAGTCAACAATTTTTTTTTTAAATTGTGGTGTTTTATACACAGAACAGCACACATAATTACCTAGTCAAATATATCTGAAGTGCTAGGAATCAACTTGAATAATATATACCAGCTCTAGTTTTCACATTTAGTTTTTTGAACAGATATCTTAAATTTTACACAAAAGCCAAAGAGCCATTGTTGTTGTTGTTATGTGCCGTCAAGTCTTCTCCGACTCATAGCAACCCGTCTTTGGGTTTCTGAGGCAGTATCTCTACAGAAGTAGATTGCCCAATCTTCCTTCCGAGGAGTGGCTGGTGGGTTTGAACTGCTAACCTTCTGGTTAGCAGTCAAGTGCCTTAGGCACTATGCCACCAAAGCTCCTAGCCAAACAGCAGTTGATACAATTTAATTACTTTGATCTCTGATTTCATTGAGAGATGAACAGAAGAATCTTTTTCCATGCAGATTGTGTTTCTGACTCAATTTTTGAAATTTCCAAAATCATGTTTAGCAAGAAAAAATATATCCCTTTGGGAAAACATGATCTTGACTGATCGTATATGAGTTCTTTCCCTATCAGAAAAATTATTCTGCATGTAAGTTTATCTTTTATATTAAGCCTTGAATGACTCCATTTTTATGTAACTTCTTAAATCTTCCTATTATGTATGAACCCTAGGAATTTTTATGACTTTTAAGCTTAGTTACATTGTTGAGAGTTCTGTAGATATTACTTAGAAAGATGACTAATATCCTTTCCTGTTGCCTTATTGTCCTGTCACTCTCAAGACGTTGTTCCTAAAGTAATGGCTTACATTTAAGTAATCACAAATAAACATTCATTGAAGAGAAGGAAGTTTCACTTTGGACTCATAAGGAATTTTGACTGTAAAAGAAAACGACTTATTTGTGTCCAAAACCCCATTGCCATCCAGTCAAATTCAGACTTATGATGACCCTATAGGACAGAACAGAGCTGCCCCATAGGGTTTCCAAGGCAGGAGCTCTGGTGGCGTAGTAGGGAGCTCTGGTGGCAAAGTGCCTAAGGCACTTGACTGCTAACCAGAAGGCTGACAATGCAAACCCACCAGCCGTTCCTCGGAAGAAAGATTGGGCAATCTACTTCCATAGAGATACCGCCTCAGAAACCCAAGGAGGGGTCATTATGAGTCGGAAACGACTCGATGGCACATACCAATACCAATATTTTCCAGGAGTGCCACATCTTTCTCCCATGGAGCCGCTGGTGGGTCCAAACCACTGACCTTTCAGTTAACTAACAGGAGCACTTAACCACTGTGCCACACAGGCTTCTATTTGAGTGCAGGGATATTAATTGCAACATTATTTATAGTGACAGAAAACTAAAGATCTTTCTATGAGGGACTGGTTAAATAAATTATGACATATTTATACAGTGGACTGTTATATTCAAAAGAATACACAGTTCTAACGTGCCAGTATGTAATGGTCTGCAAGATATGTTGACAAGTGAAAAGGGCACTGATGTATATATTGTTGTTGTTGTTGTTATGTGCCGTCGAGTCGGCCCCGATTCATAGCGACCCCTCCTTGGGTTTCCGAGGCAGTATCACTACGGAGGTAGGATTGCCCAACCTTCCTTTAATCATACTTAGTCTATTTCCAGAAGAATACATAAGAAACTGCCAACAGTGGTTGCCCCTGGAGAAGAGGATTGAAGATTGGAATAAGAGGGAGAGATTTACTTTTTATCGTATACGCTTTTTTTTTTTTTTTTTT